CACTGTCACTGTCACTGTCACTGTCACTGTCACTGTCACTGTCACTGTCACTGTCACTGTCACTGTCACTGTCACTGTCACTGTCACTGTCACTGACACTGTCACTGTCTCTGATTCTACATGTTAAATCAAATGAAATTAATACGTACTGATCGCAGACAGGTTCGCAACGTCCCTCCACTTTCGCGTAGCCCTCGTTGCAGCTACACTGTCCTGGCTTGATACACTGCCCGTTCTCGCAGTGATCACAGACGGGAGTACAGCTGCCGTCAGCCGCACGGCGATAGCCTTGGAGGCAGTCACATTTGTTGGGTGCCACACAGCGGCCGTTGCCGCAGCCTGGGTTGCACTCTGGCTGGCAGTACTTGCGGCTAACGGAATCCAGTTTGTAGCCCTCGCGGCAACGGCATTCGTTCTGTTCATCGCACACACCATTGCCACAGCCCAGCGGGCAGGTGGAGATGCATTTGCCCTCGTCCGTTCTCACATGTCCGGGCATGCAAACGCAAGTATTGGGAGCTGTGCAAATGCCATTGGGGCAGTCGTCCACACAGATAGGATCGCATCGTTTATAGACATGGGGATTGCGCTCGTAGCCCTCGCAGCAAACCTGAATTTGACTCAGATCTGGGGAGGTGCCATTGCCAACATACTTTTCCCGCGAGCCATGCAACAAAGACGCGGTGCTGAAAAGGAAAAGTTATATATATATAAATATAAAGGGTTAAATATTTTGTGAAGATCAAAAATAAAATGCACGATAATATATGATATATTCTTCACGTAGGGAAGAGATTTATGTTTAATAAATATATACTATATTTATAAGTATATTTATATCAAATAAATTTCTATTCGTTTTCCTCACTTCCCAAGGTCTAAGCGCTTGTTTTTCTTTAAATATCACATAAACAAATATATGTCAGCTAACTAAGTATACAAATTCTATAAGTATGTATATCAAATTGAATTTGAAATCGCATTTCATTATCAGGCAAGTCAAGAGGACGTCGAGGTTGTTAGTTCAATGTGTAGCTGCCCTGTTTTCAATTACTCTAAACTGCGCGATAATAATTTCGAGCTTATGCAAGGGGAATTTACGTAGAGATAACATCATAGATTTAAATGAAG